TAGATTCAGCACCATAAAATATTTCTTAACATAACTGAACTACTAAGACGGTCCAATTTATTTGTGAGTCATCATCACCACAAGAAGTTAATTTTATTTCAATACATTTCAGCCATTTTCACGTATTCAACAACTAAGGTGCTAATGCACACATTCCATGACTTCAATACTGATTTAACCAACTCCTCTGATGAGATTTTTAATACTGATATTCAGGTAAATAGTGGCAGCAGTTATGGGTACTGTGTGACTACTTACAGGTGGTCCTACTGGAATCAAAATAACTTAAAAGACTTACAAGGTGCAAGCGTTTAAAATTCTGAAATCCTGGAACCAGCCCCCAGACACAGAGCATACATATTTAATTAAACAGAACTGTGAAGTACACTGCCTGTAAAAAAATCACACTGCATGACTGAGACTCGGAAAAGACACAAACATATTTTGAGGATACAATATTGGTGCATGCACAAGATGTTCTACATGAACATTACTGAAAACTACAAAGACATCTGCCCAAACAACATAAAATTACTGTCAACTTATTTAAAAATACATAGCAACACGCAAATTGTGAACCACAGCTGATTTCAATGTTGGACTGAACTGTCTTTCTTCATACAATACAAGAACTGAAAAGACAGAAAATTTCCAGCAGACACTTCCTATTTGTATAATATACAAAATTGTACAAATGCAGGTTTGCTCTTAAATTTTTATGCAATAAGTGCTGTAAGAGATCACCACTTTACTTGTCTATCTAATGCAAGTTTCATATCAATAACAAAGTTCATTGAAACTGTGAGAATTGGGGTTTTCACAGCAATGAGTCTGAAGACTGCTGTCTCCTGGGTTGTTGCGCCACGTCTGGTAGATGTCCACCAACGTTTCAGAGATCCACGCTGCCTCCGTCATCAGGGTGATGGACCTCTGAAACGTTGGTGGACATCTACCAGACATGGCGCAACAACCTAGGAGACAGAAATCTTCATTAAAACTGTTTGTATCTATAATGATTCTAGTTACGGTCTTTTGACTGCAATAATCTTTTCCTGACCAACACAGATAACTGAAAATTAAGCAATACTAAACACATTAACAGTGAAATCTGGTATGGTGCACAAATTGAACAATGCAACAAATTAACATTAACTGAAAGCTTTCCATAAACCAATACACAATTCTAAACACATTCTTTTAACATTAGTATGTCAGGCACTGAAAATATCACAAAAGCACAACACTTTAAAATATTTTTGAAGAAATATCACATGGGAATAGTCTTACCTCAGATTCCATATGTCTAATGAAGTCCCTGTAACTAAGGCACATGAAGCAAACAAGCCCATTAGGAACGACACAACTTTGGACAAGACACAAACACAAATTTGTAACACACCTACACACCTTGAAGGTCTGCATATGCTGCTGTCTCTCGTAACACCTCTGATGAAGCTTGTGTAAATGCTGACAGTTGTAAAAGGAACAAGGATATTTGGTAAATAGTCAGGAATTGTAACAAAACTTCACTAACTTCTGGTAACCACAATGACTTGTATTTCCTTCACATGAACTATATTATCTTTGAGATTAATTAACAGAATAACTAAATATTAAATTATATTACTTTCATCAAATTACATGTGCACAGAAAGGCTCAGAGCAAAGGCCCACAGAAAAAATGAGTTGCATTATCAAATGCAGTAAAATACTTAGCATCCATCTTGTAGATTTTATATGAAAAATACACAAGACAAAGTATGGGTTACAGGCAGTTACGTCTATCTGTATTTTCTAACTCCAAAATATCCTAAAGGATTTGGATGAAATTTAGTTTATTTTAATTTCAATATATTACAATAAGATCACTATTTTATATATGAACACAAACTATTTGTTTAGCATGTTATGTCAAATATATATTAAAAGAAAAAAATGTTTAAAATAAATAATATAAATACCAATGAAATTTGTTATATGTTTTGTATGATAAGAAATTTTTCATAAATCTGTTAAGATTCAATTTGTCTTTGAAGAAACCAAATGGGCATTCTCTTTTCAGCATTTCCATGGGCTCTCTACAGTAAGAGGTCTCTTTACCTTCCTCATACATTGACACAAAGACTGACAGGGTTTTCCTGCCAATATTTAAAACTTATAACATGATTAAAGAATGTGTAAATTAAAAGACAAGGCTCATCATACTCAGCCTGTAAGCATGAGAAATTTAAACTCTTTGGCACGTGCACAGGATTGAGGTTCTTACTGCCTGGATTCCTGAGTGATTACAGACATGCAAATATTGATAAAATTCCAAGTATCCTCAGAGTTAACTGAACCTCCATTGTCCAGCTTGCATATGACATCAAATTATTATTATAGACAGCCTTACTGATGTCATGTAGGGCATTTTGCGTTGAGAAATACTTCATCGTGTCACCTTTATACCGACTTTTCCTAGTAAAACTTGTTTATTTGCATTTAAAAGAATAAGGAGAAGGAAATTCTAAAAAATATGAACATACGAGGTTTGAAGTTTCGACGGCAATAAAAGTGTGGATATCAGTCTCCTATGTTGTGACACTTATTTTGTCAGTGGTTACAAACAAACCCATTCATTTGTTATTTAGCTAATAATGTTTGCATAAAATGACAAGATCATTAGTAAATAATGAATTGGACAGGATGTGGTAGAAAGTGGTTGTGGCCTATAGTATCATCCCAGCATTTGCCTAGAGCCCACTTTTGTATCTTTGTTGATGGTAAAATTTCCTTACCGCCCACTGGTGCCGCACGTACTGCCCACCACCATGAAAGAGGTACACTTCGAAGACTGAGTGATGACCGGTGGTAAGCCCCGCCGTCGTTATGCGCAATAAACTCGTGCCTTTCGCTACGGAACTCATTCGTTGCTCCCTCATCCACGAGTATACTTCGAGAAGTGTCCGGTGAATTATTATCAATATTAAAAGTTTAGAGATGGAATTCAAAAGTAAATAGCAAAAGCATATTTTGAAAAGTCAAACTCGCGAAGTTGTTAGCAATGTATTCGATATATGGAGGAAGAACAAAATTTGTAACGGACAAAAACCCTACACCGCCCACCATTAAAGCTTGAATCACCCACTAGTGGGCGGTAGGGACCAGGTTGACGACCCCTGGCCTAGAGGGACTAAGGAAAACCACTAAAAACATCAGTTAGGGTAACCTGTCTCTGGGCCAAGATGTGAAGCCGGGACCTCCCAAATATAAACCAGGAATGCTAACCACATGGTCATGATACTTGGTGTTACAAATGTATGTTATTTGTTTCTCCAAAACTTGATTACTACCTATAAAAACATCACCCAGGATGCCACAATCCTTAGACCTTACACTAACGGCTGAAACATGTTTTTAGTCTGCCACTGAAGGGACCAGAAACTGTTAATGTTTTATTCAATGTTATGCCCATTTTCCTTTTAATACTGTGCTAATGCCAAAGAGTTACCTATCTTTACTTGCAGCAGCACTCCACTGCAATGCACTTCTGCCATCTGTAGGAAAAGTGAAGTACATTATTATTTCAAACATCGAAGCATAACTTTTCTGAAAGAATCTGCCGCACTGACTGCAAGAAAGAGTCAAACAAAATGCTACTGCCTTCTTAATACTTGCAGGCTGGTCTTCTGTCTGCAATACTCTACAACTAAAACTAAACTTACTCAAGGTTCATTCACTTGTTTGCATTACATGGCAGTATACTTCATAGTTTCTACTCCTAAGATAACATATTCTTAGTAAAACAACTTATCTTAATACAACTTTTAAAGGCTGAACCCTAAGTTCACTACCATAGTTTATTTGTATCTCGGTAGATACGGTGATTATTTCATTTTCAAAAACTGTTTTCATATAAAGACGGTCGTTTGTCAATGCATGGTATAAATAAGCTTTTGAGTGGAATTATATTCTTATATGGAACAAAGACTATGTCATAGCTTGGGTGGTTAGAAACCAATCCAAGTACAGACGATGTGATAATTTTTGTGGACAAATTAGCAGTAGCCACGCAGGCTGAGGCATCATGCTTCAGACCGGTGATACAGAATGCGAGCTGGTTCGAGTCTCGGGGAAAGAAATTTCTCATGAGATTTTCGACCGGTGTATGGAACCGGCGAAAACCCACCATTGTGAGGAAATTGGGGAGCTACAATGGGTAGCGTAATCCGGTCATGAAAACTAGCATTGGCTCTGGGTTCATCGTGCTGACCACACGTCATCCTATATCTGGTTGGATGATCGTTCACCTCTGTTTAGGCATGTGAACGTGAGGCCAGCAGCCAGCTAGTCGGCTTTGGCTTTCAGAGGACTGTTACGCCACGGATCATTAACATAATTCTACCAATGATTCATGTGTGTCTAACACCACCTCTGAAGTATTCAACATATCTGACTGGGTAGTGTGATATAACCTTGATCCATGCTTCATCTCTGACTTAGCTCTTCACAAGACTCAAACTACAGACGTACTTACACAAGTTGAACAGACAATGCAAGCAGATATGATATACTTATAATATTTAGAACAGTATTAAACTTTTATTTGATAAAGTTTGCTTTTAATGAATTCATAAATTTCAATTTAATTATTATTCCCTCTTATAAACATAAAATTTTAAATTTAATTGCTGCATTAATAGTCATTATGTTACTTTCAATCCATGCTGAAGCATGAGCTAATTTGAAAGTTTACCATAAAAATAATACTGCGAAAAATGTCTGTATCCCACTATATTTTACTGGGAATTCATAACCTCAAATAAGTTACTTTATATATTACAATAAATTTGTTATGAAGTATGAACACAATTTCAGTTGATTAAAATTTGACTCAAATAAACAATGCATATGGATTCAACCTTTAAGATGTTATGTTACACATAATAAAATAAAAAATGTTACAGAGCATTGGCAAGACAAGGAAAGAAGATTTGTCTTGCTGTGTTGGACATCATGCCTTCATCATGCTGGTCACGAAGGATAGTGAGTCTACATTCCTACAACATCAAATCAAACCAAAGTGCTTATTAATTTACAGGGCCCATGCAGAACAAACACATGCAGAGCATCAAGTCAGGAATGAACAAATTAGGGGAAAAGAACCATTAAAATAAAAATGAAATATATTTGTCAGGATAAAACCAAATACAGTAATGGTTCTTGCAAAATCTACTGGTTCTTATCTACAAGGCTACCAAACAAATTCAAACTTGAGCTAGTTATTTGCAACAGTTACAACAAAGTCTAGTAGTTTTTAAAATATAAAAGTGATTGGTGGGATGTTGGCAAGTGTGGTCCCATGGCTCCATGACTGGAAGATTAACCATGTTAACCATATTGCAAAACTTGGCCTATTTTGTGGTTTTACTAAAGATGGCCTCATAACCTCAATTAGAATTTGCAGCAAAAATCACAACTGGGCAGTGTTATCATGTTTGTATGACAATAAGAATACCATCCTAGTGTCTCTAGTTTGTAAATATTTAAATATATCAGACTACTTACATATTATCTGAGTAATCTGAAATGTATAAAGAATCAAGTTGGATAAATTGTATGTAGTTTACTTTTAGAAGTAAACCAATAAAATAATTTTACAAATTAAATTTCCCTTCTAATTAATATTTCTGACACAGGAATTAGTGATAACCTTGACCACTTGTATTCTGCCTTGTGATGATCCACTCAAACTACTATATCATGCTCCTGGAAGCAAACACATTCACCTGTCTCAGCAAAACAAGAACAAAACTTCTGCAATGCAACATGCACAGGAAGTAAATTACACTGTTACACAAAGCCAACTGCAACACAATGTAAAGTCATTAAAAAAGTAGTTTTAAATGTGTAAGAAGGCTGCAGCTTGCTTGCTTGCTCTTAACCATCAATATATAGATGCATAAAACAAGCACAAGGACCATTTCAAGACCACATTTACATACAGACAACAAGTAATTCTTTGATTAGATAATTAATAAATGGAACTGTAAAGTGGAAACTTTATATTTTACACTATTATCATGACTAACAATAAGATGAGAATAATTTACTACTACGCAGAAATAATTTATAAGAAAACTGTAATCAACAGAATTATTTTCATGTCAGTACTTTCATGTTTTGCCACTGAAACCTAACAGTGAAAGGGCTAATTATAATAAAATGCTTATATATCCAAACCGGAAATGTAGGGCACGGAACACTTGCTGGCCAGTTGAAGTGGCACAACTGAGGCCTCAACATGATTGTTCCCTAGTAACCCTTTAGAGAATTAGCTAAATTTTGACCATGAAATTCTAATCAAAGATGAGACTAATTCTTCCCATTTATATGAACCTTTCTGCAATTTCATTATGTGCTGAAAGCTAAATACATGTTATGTTATATATTATTGCATCGTACTATTTGTCTTCAGCAGTACCATCAATAAATTTTGAAAGCTAAAAAATGCAGAATATAGAACTTCAAAAAACAAAAATCATAACAGTCTGTTCCTTTAACAACAACATTTCATGAACACCCAGAGCATAAAAACATTTTAATAACTTAACACTGCAAATAAATCTATACTAATAAATCAATAGTTACAGCTACAAGGCACTCATGCAAACAAGAGTCAAGCAAGCAGTTCTACCAACCTGGAAGTGAGGCCGAGCTGGAACTAGAGTGCTTATCGTATTCATCTGAAGCAGCTAGACGGACACACACACACAACGAAATGTTAGTAATGAGGCAAGAAGGTTAATCAGCAGGTTTGTAATGCAATTATTACTTGTTAGTTCCAAATTCATGATTATGCACGCGCAAGTCATGTAAGTTGGTAGTTCTTCATTCACCATGCTCTGGGAATCATACAATTCCTACAGAAGCTCAAGTATACTAAGAGCACTATTAACAATGAATTTTAACAGTCCCAGCAGGGTTTTACTAATGCTTAATCCCCAATGGTAACTATATATACCACCTGCTTTAACATTCAATAACTCTGCACTTTCTCCACAAGGTTTATTTATGGATTCCATAAGATTCTCGGAGTAAACAGATATTTTGTAAGATTCGAGGTCCTCATGTTGGTGCCTCCGTCATCAGGGTGCCCTGTTGACAGAGGCAGTGTGACCTCTGAAACGGTGGTAAACGTCTATAATACTATACGGCGCAACAACCCAGAAGACAGAAATCTTCATCTTGTGATAAATTTAAAACTCATTACTAGTCAAGTAAAATCAGTAATTTGAATGTAATAAATACATTAGAATACCACAGCAAACTGGGAAATTAAAGAAAAGTTTTATTTTGTATGTAATGATATGTTGTAACCTGTGTATACAGAAAGTGTGCCATCAGTTGGGTTTGTTCCAAAAAGCAAGCACAAAACACAGTTATGCTAACTTAACCTCCTTAGCACTTCAGCGATAGTCGGAACAGATGTTAGTGACATTGAATGGGATTAGAACCACTTGTCAGAAAAAAATAATGGCTGATACTCCTGACTCAACTTTTTCCAGGGAAGATATTCACATGAAGATTCCATTAATTACTAATATATGAGACAGTGTTCATGAATTAAACTATTTAAGCCCATGAGATAATAAACAAATAAATAAAAAATCTACTCTCAGCTTACGATAGGGCCAACAAAAATTGTGGGAAAACCAACTTAAAAAGAACAATGTCATGAGTTCATCAACAGCATCAGAATAGGCATTCCAGTAGAGTGTCACATTAAATCTGACCACACAATCAATACACTATCCACTCTCGCAGTTAGCCACCAATATGAAATTATCAAGACCTTCTCAGACAGACAAACCCTTGCCTGGAAAGAAATGGCTGTAGCGTGTGATAGATTCAGTTGGCCCAGCACAGAATTGGGAATTCTGTCCGCACATTGACGCAAAATATAATAAATGTAATATTACCTTTCTACATCTACTGTCTTTTGTGGGCGTAAATAGTTTCTTACATCGACAACAGCTCTGGGTTCTGAACAGTCTCACACATTCAGTTTCAAAGCAATAAAATAAAGCAAATGACATCTTCTCACACACAGGGTATTCAGAGAAGAATATTAAATTTGCATGGTAATTCAAAGCAAGTAAGATTACGAAAGCACAAAATAAAGCAATACACAGAAGGCAGTCATGCTCCTGCCGATCCCATTAAACAAATCACCAAAGTCGCTTCCTCAACTGTTTATGTAACCAGTCAAGGCAGAAAGAAAACTTTACGAAAACATTCTCATAAGATTCTGTAATATTACTTCCATAGAGTTTATATTTTTAAAAAATAAAAATGAACACTGACCTCCGATACACGTGTATTTGAACACTGACCAAAACACCCTAAAGTTTATGGAGCTTATTAATTAGTATATGTAGAAAAAGTAAGAAACAAAGAAATGTTCTGTGGTAAATACGCACCATTCCGATAGTTGACATCCCTTGTGGAGGGAGGCGGTGGTACCTGGAGGTATTCACGAGGTGTTGGAGTCTGTGTGAGAGCCTTTTGTACTAAACCAGTCAGGTTCGCCAACTGCCGCTCCATGTGTTCCACGCGAATCCTAGAGTCAGCAAACTTTATCATAACTTCAACGACATAAACAGAATATGACGCTAAAATCCTGATACTGGGATTTGAACCCAGAGTGCAATTGCTTAGCAAATGACATTACTGTGACCACACTGTGCAAGAAAGCAAAAGACTTGCTCAAGAATGTTAGGACATGCACACACACTCAAATACACCATGTGGCAACTGACAACTTCTAAAGATGGCCGCTACCACCACTGCATCGATACTGTTCTAGCTCTACAGTTTCACATAAAAGTGTTTGACATACATTTAAAATACAACGATTATAAAGTTTCTTCTGGGATTACAGCTCCCTGCTATGCATGGTGTGTGGCACAGAAGATTTTTATGAGAATATTTACCACTTGTTGCCACCAGCCAGATTGAGGAAATAAAATGTTAAGTGTCCAGAAAAACCCACATATCATAGAATCCAAAAGCGAACAGACAATTTTCCATTTCGAACAGATGTCTATTTAAGCATTCAGCACATATCTTGGGGATGGACCTGCTTAACTATTTCCTACTATGACAAGAATATTCTTTTTCAGTCTACAAGAAGCATAGCTTAGAACAAAACTATAACAAACTAACTCCATGGATGGCAATTTTTCTTGAGAAATTCACAGTACACTTAGCTAGTCAAGAAATTTCCTTCATTTATGAAAACCAAAGGTTCATTACCATGTTAGCAAGAACCTGTCACTGGTCCCTATCCTGTGCCAGATGAAACTGGCACCCCACACCTTATACCACAGTTTTGTTGTAGTAACAATATTCTAGGTATTCCAAAATTTGGTAATTCTGGGCTAATAAAGAGGTTTAAAATATTACAATTCTTTAATACTAAATACTACAGATTCTTAATAATAAGCCATGTAGGCACTTGGAGGGAGAGGAGGGATACCTCCTACTCATCTTAACCTCAACACTAGATGGGGGAGAGTGGTCAGCGTCATGCTCCGGCTGCACTTTACCCCTAGGAAAGGACCCCAGTAAACAATGGATAGAGGCTGGGAGGGCCCCAGAGCCGATCTGGATGCAGAGGGTAGAGGAACAATCCTATGTCTCCGTTGGGGATTGAACCTCAGTCATCCAGTTTGTAGCCAGTCATTATAGAATGACCGTTACTGTTCCCTGATTTTAATAAAATTTGAAGTGTGTTGACAATTCTAGTAACACTACCCAGTATCAAATTTCATAAGAATTATTTTAGGAGTTTTGACCTGTAAAATCAATACAGACAGACAGAGAAACAGAGAGACAGATATAGTAGAACTAACAGATGCATTTCTGAAAATTATAGTAACAAATGCAAGTAAAATATTTTATTTGGTGGTAGCATTTTAATTATTAGCGAAAGCTGTTGCCGTTTATGGTCCACTGTATTCAAAAGTGGATGAGGTACACGGAATGAAAGAAGCGTTGGCCATCAATCCCAGAAGAAACATACTCATCACCTAGCCTGCAGCTATATACATATCTAAATCTGACATACATTTTGAATAAACTTGACACTAAAAACTTTTCCTCCTTAATAACAGAACAGAACAGTGACAAGCCTTGAAACTTTCATGGTGACTAAAAGTGATAAAATCCTCAGACGTGATCGGTTGTGCCAATTAAGAGCAGATGTCCTGCTCCAAACTGATACAGCTCACCCAAGATGATTTTACCACATTGATAAGTTTAAATTATTAAATGATTGTTCATTAAAACATAATTTCCCTCAGCAACAGTCCACACAACAACATTTGAAAGGACGTTGGCATTCAACTCATGAACTGTAACACAATAATCCAGTAATCCAGTTTTAAAGTTACCAAAGGACAACTTATATTGAATCATTTATCATGGTCTTTTTTACAAACCCTTCCACAAGAAAATCCTTACAAAGGACCACAAATTACCTCACAACCATTAAATTTCATATTATTTTTAAGTAATTACTCATAAATATTATATAATTTCTCACTCGATGATATGCAACCAACACAGTTGAAAGAACATAATTATATAAATAAGTATAGTTATTTAAATCTTAATTTACCTCCAACTCAATATAAAAAAGAGACAAGGTAGATACAATATTGTCAATAGGGTAATATCAATTAATTAATCAATAATAAATAATTATAACTGACAAATATTTTATTTAATTCATTAATCTATTCCTTACTTTAGAAAAGAAATATAACCTTATGTAATCATCATGTTTTCAGTTTGAAAATTTAAAATTTATATGCAATCATTAAAAATATTCGATGAGACTGTTACAGAAAAAAGTGTCTGGCTGTCTTTACTATTTTCTTACAACTCACCATGTGGGACGAATGTGCCAATGCGTAAGTATTTTTTGCACCCCTATACCTCATTTTCACAACAGACCAAAGTTAATACTTCTGTCACAGTTGTCTCTCCAATAAGAACATTTTTTTATCTTTGCCATTTCCTACTACAAGTTAACAAAATGCCTATTACTGTTTGTTAAAGTCACTAATCGGAAAACATCTCCAAACCAAAGTGTTTCTGACCAAAGAGGACTGACTTGTCCACCATATACAGTACTTATATGTCCAAGAAAATTAAAAACAGATTTTAATTTACAAATTGTATATGGTTACAAGTCCTGAAAATACGAGAGATAAGTATCCTAACAAGCAGAATATTTCAATAAGTTAAAGCAAACTACGATCCTAGAGAATGATTATAGCACATTTTGATGGCTTTAAACAAAACAGCTGTATTTACCAATCAAACACAACTAATCTAAAGCTGTTCTCAGTTCACCACAGTGTTAGTAAAAGCGGGAGGGTGTGCATACCGGGTAGCATCATATGGGACGACAGCAGGGGCGGGGAACTGGCTGCGGGGTTGAGGTGTCACAACGGGCCGCCCGGCCGTCGGAAGTTTCACCCCATACAGACTGTATGACTCATCGATTAACTCGGTGTCACTAGCAACACAAGCAGTAAGTGAGACGCACGCACGCACAAGCAATGTAATGGATCCAAACAAGACAAAAACCCGGTCATATACACAGGACATTACAAGAAACACAGATCATATGACATCAAGATAGCAGGCAAATGGCTTGTGAGCACATATAAATCATCAAAATGATAATTAGCCACATTTTTTAAGCACCCTTCAGTTCAAGGTCATAGCTTTCACAGAGACACCTGCTTTTCTGTAGTTCATAATTTCATAGCATTTATTGTGACAACACGAAGAGGCTCCAAAAATATAAATTTTAACAACCAAAATCTCAATTACCTTTCTGATACTTTTAGAAATAAATTATTTTTACTGCATATCACACATATTTTGACAAAATTCCACAGAAAACCCTGTGTAAAGCGGAAGAGAAAATCTGTTAAAACGTTCACGTACATATGAATACCACAAAATAGGCAAAATTCTTTGGATCTTTATGTTGTTAAGCAAAAGTAACAAATAAGTGGCTAACATTCAGAATGTAAAGTACTTTCAATACTGCTGCATATTTCTGCATATGGGGTCGTCAAGTATTAAATAAACATTGTATGGAATATTAGTCAATGCCTTTCATTTCCAAAATTACTCAACAATGACTACAAGTAGGTACAAAAATTAAAAACTGCTTTATATTAGACCATTATAACCTCTACTTTAAACAGAAGTTTAATAAAGTTTTCAAAATGCTCATAAATTACTTTCTATACAAAAAAATCAGCATATGGCAAAACAGATCTAAAAGTTTAATTCAAAATAATTTTAACATGATATATTTAATTAATTAAATTTAAAGAAAAATTTTATGATGGACAAAAAATATCAAAAAACACATTTGTAAGAATGCGTGCGACTACTTCTTTAAAATGTAATATTGATTATGCATTGTTTACATAAAGCACATAAATGTTAGGGCACTGCATGTTTTATCTCTAAAGCTACTTTATAAGTTCCACTGAAAATCTACACTAAAAGGGAAGTGACAAATTTAATTCTTAATTTATACTGATTCAAAATAAACATAGTTTTACATAAAGCTCCAAATTATACTGATTACCTACAAACAAATTAACTGCCTAACTCCATGGTGCAAAGTTCTTCATGAGAAACTAATTTATGCTCAACTAGTAAAGAAATTCACTTCCTTTTATGTACCTAAAGGCTCATAATAGTCTGCCACAAATGAATTGACTATAAAGAAAGACGACATTGCGTAACACAGAGGTCTGATTAAAATCTACAACTTTCATGCAATGATTATCTAAGCTACAGCAATGAAATAAAAAGAATTTTAGTTTTTCTGGCCATATATGAGTTTGTACCTGCATTAAAAGAACATCCGAGGCCAATAAAATATGAAAAACTGACAGTACAAAGCATTAAATAAATGACTTACAAATCAATTACATGACAAATCCAAGTGGAGAAGAACAAATGAAACGTGTGATGGCACATTTTATGCCGCATAAAGGTTATAGACATAAATACAAGAAATTATTTCAGCTAGATATGGTACAACAGTAACGGAGCATTGACATTAACAGCAGTGCTTTAAATTTTCGTGGCATCTTATGTTCTAACAAAAGCAGATGTATACTCCAGTTTGAAGTACACCATTCTTGCTATTTTGCAACTCAAACTGGTTCTAAGTACCTGAATTTCCAATAAAAATCTAGCCTACTGTTAAAAAGGCTAACAAGAGTATTACACTGCACTAACGAACTAACAAACCAACCATGTTCATGAAATTCCCTCCCTTTTACGGAACCCAAAGATGTTACTGTAATTACAACAGCCTGCCACTGGTCCCCAATCCAAGCCAGATATATCCAATCCACACACTAATTCCCAATGTCTTTAATATCAATTTTAATATTATCTTCATATCTGTGTCTAGATCTTTCAAATGGTCTCTTCCATTCGCTTTCCAACCAACATTTTGTATGTAGTTCTCATCTCCACATGTGTGCTATATGTCCTGCCCATCTCACCCTCATTGGATTGATCATACGGACATTTGGTGAAGAATCTACACTACACAAAATAAACAATTCTATTTTTCATAAAGGTAATAAATATCGGGTGTGGCATTAAAAAAATACATTACATTCATACATGATGCCCAGGAATACACAAAATCAGTGAATATCTATGGCACATCTTTAATATGCAGTGTCATTATACTAGTGATATTTTGAACAAACAAATGAACAATGAGCTTTATAAAAATAATATTTGTTTTCTACTTTCTTGGCTCTACAACCTGTCTGTGGGTTTTCGCCGCCTCCTATTTGGGGGTTTCCTAGTCTTTGAAGTGCGCGTTTGTGAGTAGCGAGTGACCAGCTCACTGACTCTGCACAATTTCTACTCAATCCTCATTTAACTGCTAGAGCCATCTAGCAGTGAATCAGGAGAGACTTGGGTGAGAAATAGCCACTGAATTTTGCTTACGAAACATCATGTATCACGCTTGTAAGGTTCTTTTACATGCTGTAAATCTATGACATGGGACCGACTGCTTTATTTCCCCTCCGAAGGAAGTCGTGTTACAGATTTTTATTACCCTTAAAAATCCACTGACCTTGGCCGAGTTTGAACCCGCAAACCTTCGGTATAGTGACAAGCACGCCAACCACTAGTCTACCGACGGTGACATAAAAATATTTTACATATCATAATATTTTAATACTGATACCAATATCATGTATTCCTACAAAAAAAGTTGATTCAGGTGGATACTTTGTAAACAAGTCTGAATTTATATGCATTAGCTCATTTGAGCCCACAAGCGGCCCATAAAATGACCAAGACCAAAATTAAAACATCCTGAAAAAACAGTACAGGTTTACCATACTGAATTGGTAGCATGGTTTGGGCTCTGTTACTTACAATATGACAGACAGACAGACAGGACTAAACTAATGGATGAATTTTGTTACTTTTCAAAGGTATCTAAAAATAGTCCACAATGAACTACCTTCAAAAAAGCTTCTGTGGCATACTGGACACTTTACAGTGAATTTACCAATGTACCCAATAAAAATGTTCACAGATCTTCTCAAAATGAGAATTAGGTACAATTACATTACCGGTCGTGGGCGACACTGAATTAATGTGATAAGATGTCTGTTACAAGCAGAAACATACGCAGCTATATACACATAATATACACAGTAATTACAAACTTTGCAGTTACTACAGTCACTAAAATTCTATGTCACATGCAAAATGTAAAAGTAAATCAGTCCCACTACATAACATGTAGGTCTCTTGAGTGGAGAGGTAGTATAGTTCCTACTCATTCTTGATCACGGCACTAGGTGGAGGTGAATAGTCAGCATCACACTCCAGCCGCACTTCACCCCCAAGAAAGGACCCCGGTACCCATTGGATAGGATGCTGGGTGGGCCCCAGTGCTGGTCTGGACGCAGAGGCTAGAGGAAAAATCCTCTGCCCGTCAGGGATCGAACCCGTCATCCAACCCATAGCTAGTCACTGTAGTGAGCTATTCTGGCTCACTCTACGTCACATGCATGAAATATAAATTCTTGTAAGAAGTAAGATATGTTTCTTCCTAAGAAACTTTAATGTTCATGCCTGTGGACTAAAAACGATCAGAGCACATGCAGTTAATATGAAACACACGGCACAGTCTGCAGTATCTCATTATATCCGACATTAAATTCATCCCTGTAATTTCATTACACCTTAAGATAACAAAATGAGTGCAATTAAATATGTACACCAATATAATTTGTACACATTCATAGATCTACTTCAACTGAAAGTTTTTAACTACACCAAAACTTGACGGTGTTTACTCAAGTTTTTCCCACAGTATTTTGAATAAGAGGAAGATCTACTTTTGCCAGCTACTGAATGTACTAGAATTTAATAAAGTTAGGCAGACTGAAGTGCGTACGGCTGAACCATTAGTAGCTGAGCCTGACTTTTTTTAAGGCTGAGATTGTTACTGAAAAGCTGAAAATGTACAAATCACCAGATACTAAACAAATTTTGGCAGAATTTATGCGATCAGAAGGTAATACAATATGTTCTGAGATACGCAACTTTTTTGTTTTTGGGACGATAAATAATTGCTAGAGCAGTAGAAGGATAATCTATTTTTGTGTGGCAGCAAGCAACCAGTCCACTTCCTGGGTTCCACATACATATCACATCCCTAATGACGACTACAAAGACAGCTCACAAATCATCCGTTTTTTATGACCAACTGACATGGCTGATTGCCCATGAAGACTTCATTGTATTATTGTACCTATTTGTAAGAAGGGTGTTAAAATTAATTGTAGTGCCATAATTATACAGAAACATCACTGTTATATACTACATTCAATTAAATTCTAAATTCTCTCCAACATTCTTCTCTCAAGTTTAACACTACACGCAGACAAAATTATCGGAGATCAATGTGGGTTTTGACATAACTGACAAATTTCTGATAAGACATTCTACGTTTTCCAGAAACTGTTTCAGAAATGCGAGTATACATCAGTTACAGAAGTGTTATACAATGTTCTAATTGGATTTAATATACCAATGACACTAGTTAGATTAATTAAAATGTGTTTAAATTACACCTCAAGAAAATTCCATACAGGTAAATATTTACCTGGTGCATTTCCTACTCAGTGGTCTGAAATAGGGAGATGTTTTATCACCACTGCTTTGCCACCAGGAAGGTCCAAGAAAACAAAGTGGGATTAGAATTTAATGAGTCTAGCCTATCCTGATTATATTAATTTTTGAGGTAAAAAAACATAAATATCATAAATAAAAACAAAGAAGTTCTATCAGATGCTATTAAGTAAGTTGGTCTAGAAGTAAACGCAGATAAAATCATTATAATAAGGCAGCTAAGAAATTCACTGAAAACGTGGCAAAGTTCAAATATTTCGAAACAGCATCGACAAATAAGAAATGCATTCGGGACTAACTAACTTAGCAAACTATTAACAGCTTCTCAAGAACAACTCTAATCCTTGGAATTAGTCAATTAGGGATTAGTATTTCACGTCAAAAACGGGGCTCTAAAATGCTGGTAAAATTCTTAACACACGCTCACTTTGAATGCAGTGCACTTCATTACAAAGGAACCCCAATAAATGCATGCATATTTGTATGAAGGTAAGAACAGCAGTGGAAAAACAAAAATAATAAAAAAAGAACACACAAATACAAACATGGAAGCCATATTAATACTGATTACTGTTTTATAATAAACTTCACAGTAAAAATAACTTTACAGTATGTCTTTTGAACCAAAATAACTGTGAGACAAATTTGAAATCACTACATGCATATAAGAAAATAAACGTATCATAAACAACCTCTCATCTCATCCTTTATAAATAATGTAGTCTGTCCACATATAATTCACAATCTAAAAATAAGATGGCTGGACTTGTCAATGTGTAGAAAATGCATAGTTTCATCACGTAAGTTCCACACAGTTATAAATTTCAAGTGATTACTTTCACTCCAGATCAACTTTTTTAGCTAAGACACGCAGCTGCCTTACCTTGCCTCCTCGTCAATGACGGGTGTTATTGAACCCGATCGTGATGCATACTGGCTGTAGTACGGATCCTCGTAACCCGGCCCTCCAGGGTTGTATGCAGCTGCTGGGTAAGCCCGAGGACCTCCTCTTTCAGGGGAAGACATGTACCCACTCTCTGAATGAAGACGATCTGAAGAGGAAGAAATCAGATTTTATCAACTGGTCGCTTCATGTAAGATATGAGGTTTTCACAGCGGTGAGTACGAAGATTTCTGTCTTCTGGATTGTTACGCCATGTAGTATATGGTAGATGTTTACCAAAGTTTCAGAGGTCACACTGCCTCCGAAACGTTGGTTAACATCGACCATACTACACGGCGCAACAACCCAGAAGACAGAAATCTGGTATCTTTATGATGACAACTTTCACTAGCACTGTACGTACTGACAATCAGCACCAATCACACAGTATCATGCAGTCTGGTACAAGGTTACCATCGTTTCAGAGGTCATTGCTGCCTCCATCATCAGGGCGATAACTCATCATCAATGCTGAATGCTGATTAATTATTTACAGAAAAAAAAACTCCTTGTATTTCTTATACAACAAATTGCTTTTACATTCAATGGATGCAAATTTAATACGTAACACTGCAAAGAGAGAGCTGGACAGACTACTAGACTCCCAGAGGTCAAAGGCTAAGACAGGAGAAAGAGAAATTAAGTCGTAATGTTTACCTGTCTGAGGAAGAGTTTTAATTCTGTCAGCTGGCACTTGAGGGACTACAGCAGGGGAGTAGGTTCTGAGTAGTGGACCCCCTCGAGGCAGAGTGGAGGAACCTCCTGGTGCTCCCTGTGTCCCTCCAGGTGGGTAAGAGTGGGTCATGTAATATGGCGACTGAGGTGGGACTCCACTGCTTCCAGATTTGTTGCTTGTCTGTTGAAAAGACACACATGGAAACTTACTTCCAATTCATAATTATATTCTACAAAATAAAACATCCAATAATTTGAAATATTCGCAGATACAACTAAAGGTCCTGACCATAGTGCGGTGCTCGTGTTGCATTTTGCATAAACCGATTTTAAATCATGGCCAGGTTATCGGTTATCGGCTACTCTTACACAGGTTTTCTGAAGCAAATACAGGGATAATACCATTACATAGACCACAAATGCCTCTTTACAAACAATTATCTGCTCACAATTCCTGTTTGTCTCCAATCTCATTTGACGTTACATAACCTTTTCAACTGGGGAGGGAAAAAACCCTAAATAAACTAACAATTGTAAGATTTGAGTTTTCATGGTGGTGAGTATGAAGATGGCTGTCTTCTGGGTTGTTGTACCATATAGTCTGGTAGAAGTTTAACGACGTTCCAGAGGTCCCTTGTTGCCTCCATCATCAGGGTGATCATCACTCTCATCATCCTGATGATGGAGGCAGTAAGGACCTCTTAAACGTTGGTAAACTTTTACCAGACGACATGGTACAACGACCCAGAAGACATCCATCTTCAAACTAAGAATCTCTTATTAGACACTACTGAAAGTCTGAACTTAAAAAGAATCTACAATAATATTCAGTTGAAACAACAAAGCACGTTTCTTGTATTTAAAGTTTCAAATTTCCATTAATTTCAGAAAAATTTTATGATGGTCCTTATGTTTTGAAATAATGGACTCTTACAATACTGGCTAGTTGACGGATTCTGTGGTTATTTAATGACGCTACATTAACCGCAGAACACATGCAGAAGAGAATGATCATAACAACAGTTCCCAGAGAGAAATATGTCAGATAACTTCGGCAGTAAATAAAGCTGAGTGGTCAGCGTTTCTATCCAGTTGCTGTTACTAACAGCCAGTACCTTGCTTTCAGAAGGCTAGTTGGTTGGATGCAGTCGGGAACGTCTTGCGGTATTTAACACTGTTAATATCAATGGACCAGAATGAAGAAGAGCGTAACTGTTAGTCAGCGGCTTTATGGAAAGTGGGTCAGTGGTCACCGAGTGCAAGTTTCAGACTGAACAAAAGCAAGCAATTAAGGGCATGGATTGTTCCTCTACTTCACTCAGCCAGACTATTTTGCTTACTTACATCACTTCCTGTGTTTTAATGAGTTCACAGTCAACATATAAACTCCTTCTCATTAAAGGAAGTGCGGAAGTGATAAGTGATACTCCAAAAATGAAAGTGATACATTTTTCTGAAAGAAATAATACAAGGAGGCTACAATGGCATCACGGCCCAGGAAACCAAAATCAAAATATCCGATGCAGATGGAATCGAAATGTCACCGACAATTTTTTTAATTTATGTAATAAAATAATCCTTAACGACCGGGTTTTAAGCATCTGTACCAAAATAAAAGTCTTATCTTGTCACTTATCTGTACCTATTTTATCCCTGAATTACTGTAGGCATCTTCATGACATTCTCCTTTTTAATGTAAAATTAAACAGTTGTGTCAACAAGACAAATTCAACCAGGAGGGTTTGCTCAAAATTTCATTAGAACAATATCTTCAGCTTGAAATAAACAAAACAGATAACCCATAAAATTCATCTGCATTACCAACGATAACTTACGTAATACTCCCGAATTTATCCATTTGCATACAATGCTGTTTCAAGTTTTAAAGACTGCAGCAAAGAAAGACGGTAATGTACGGTGAATTAAAAATTATATAAAGTAAGTTTCATCTACTGGTTTATTTTAAACAATTACAAACATTACATAATACTGTACAGTGATGTGATTATGATCAAATGAGAAGAATGTAAAAATGAGTCATGGCCTACTCAAGGCTCTGAACCAGCATTTTTTCTAGATGGACTAAGGAAATCACAATAAAACCTGAGGATATCAAACTCTTGATCTTAAATTCAAACCTAAATAAAACTCTAGTTCTAACAACTACATTTCAGTGGTCAGATTTATACTCTGCAATGTTTATATTATAGTTTGTTCCTTGTTTACTGTTTTATTTAATGACACTTTGTTATATAAACTGTTTACCAGGTTGATTATGAATGGTGAATTTGGACGTGAACTGGACGAATCAGACACGGCTACCCCAAAATTAGCTGAAAGAACCAAGGACCACCACTTGATACTTTAATCATAATATCCAGTCTCTGAGCTGATATTTCAATCCAGAATGTCCAATATAAAAAGCAGCAACTAATCCACAATGTTCCTGAAAAACAAATGAAAGAACAAGCGTGCGTTCATGCATATACGAGGTCTGTTCAAAATGTCTCGGACCTCAATTTTTCCCACGGAAACAAATGAAGCACATGAGGTGTCCTCCGGCGGGGGGAGGGGTCCTTCATGCGCATGCGTGAATTTTTTTCCGCCCGCAGAGAGCGTCAGTCGCTGGCAGTCAGCCTGTGAGTGAGTGTAGTGAACGCCCATCGGAGACCATGAAACCACTGAGAGACTCACAAAGCATCACCTTCAGATCATACAGTAATCATCCTTAGTTCTTGGATCACCAATTGTTCCACTCCAATGAAATCAGCAACACGAATTTCACAACTATCCAAGCAGAAACAAATTTCACTGTTCACACCACTGCCTATTATTTTCTTGTCAGTGACATCAGCTAAACTCATTAATTTGGAGTAAGAATAAAACTATTGTAACTTATTTTTATTTGTTTCATAGATAATTCTTGAAGAGATCTCCTGCTCAAAAACTGGTTTGTTTCCAGTTAAGTTCAAAGTGAAAGCTAAAGTTTGAAGAACATAAAACAGTATTCACTGTCTAGCTGAAATGTTGTTCTGTTCATTTAAATTTTGAGGTTATGACAAACATGAGGCTGTGGTTAATACCACTTCGAAACCTGTCACATTTCAAGAAAATTGCAATTCTGTGCCTTGCTTTCCCAAACACCGTAACTGAGCTAAACACGTCCATTGTTTGTAGCCTACATGATACGTATATTGTACTTATATTACTGCGTTGGAACAAATTTGAAAGTACGTTTTTTCGAAGTTTCATCGGCGTACTGAAAATAACAATCGCCTCCAAAATAAGAGTGGAATCCTATTTATTACTTTACTTTGTAGTAATTAACTTCTAGCATATAAAAACGTTTAATGAAAGTCAATAAAATCTACATGTTGTAACATCAATTTTTTTGTAAAATTAACTGTTTTAAGAAAAAATGTAACATTTAATTTGAGCTTTAGGTAAATTAGGAAATATGTAAGATCACTTGGCAACTTACAGAGCAGATCCATAATAACCAACTACACGGAGCACATTCCTTCTCGATAAGCTAATACTCGCTCAGCTCGTCAGGAAATTCACGTAATTTTATGGAACCTTAAAATCCATTACTGTGTTTACATTATCTCCAGCCAAATCAATCCAGTGCACGCCCTCCAACCTGTTTTGTTAGGAACTATTTTAATATTATCCCCCATATGCCTATGACAGAAATATATCAACTAAACTTCATATAAAGGATTAAACAACCAACATTCTGTTAAATATGTTTAGCTTATTTCTTCCATAACATAATATTCTGACAGATGTTACGTAAAATAATTTATTGCACTATATTTATGTTTTGTGGCCAGTACACACTTTTCCTTTCAGAATCATTCGCAGAGACAAAAAAATTTCGAATGTGTGATCCAACATCTGTTCATAAGAGATCTGAGTGACTGGGTGGGTGTGGTTTACTGCAGACAAGTTGTATTACCACACTTCCAGTTATTACATATCACTTTCATGACTGCCTAAGGGCAAATGTTACGCCACAATATTCTCACATTATATCGGCTCTAGGTCACATGGTAATACATTCTGATATGAAATACAGAATGTATGCTGTAATTCAGTTCTAAAAAGTTCCTCTCACTATTCCGGGTATTCTTACTTATATATATTATTTTTTCCTCTATTTTCTCCTCAACTTTAGCCTGATGATTATCTTCTTATTCTTTCTCCTGTTCCTCTGGCCGAGTCGAGTCTTTGTCGGTGACCAATCAGCGTAAAGGAGGTCTGCTAATGAACATAGGATATCAGTCTGTTCAAAAACCTCATGACAAAAGCATCAGCAGCTGAAATTCGTGGGTGCAAGTTTCACCTTTTCCTTGTGTACCGTTGTAACCTTGTTTTCTGATGTTAAGAAAGGCGTGGATTTGTACAGTCAAGCTCACGAATTTTCTACAGTATTCATGAGTACTCGATTATCCGCGCGTAAATCCATTTAACGAAACAATTCACACTCAATAAAAACTAACATTCCACAATGCTGCATTTCGCACCATTGTATGTCACAGTGCATATAACTAGTGCTTCAGCCACCGATCCTACTGGAAAGAACGACAGCTTTGGGTCACCTGACAGATCATCTTCCATTAACTACAATCCTCGTATAAATTCTCTTATTGTCTAAATACCTTAATTAAGTTCTCCCTTTCAATAGTTCTATTTCAACAATCCAATTCAGTTCAGTTCAGACCAACCCAAAAGCCTTTCACAGTCTTCAACATCGTTAATAAAAAGCTCTAAGAACGCTAAATATTAAAGCAAACGCACAAAGTTAGAAGTACTATTGAAAGTATAGCAAAAAGTGACTGTCGAAGTTCACCCTGACAC